CTAGCTGTGGCTCTCGGGGCAGGCTCACATACGCCCTATTCCCCAGCATGTTGCTGCATACCTGAGGGCCAGCTGGGTCAGCAGATTGGAGTCCAGGAGCCAAGCCTAGATTTCCCATGGAAGCAACCTGTGTGTCTGATGCAGACCAGGATATTTTATGGGGTTATACTCAGAGTGAGCGCAGAGCAGCAGCAATGCCCATGGCACCTGAATAAGACACCTGCACTAGAATCCAGCAAGATTTGGCTCCCAGCTCTGCCCCTGTTTTGCTGCCCTGACCATGGGCAGGTCCCTTCCCCCTGCCCATTCCACATAGTGCACAGAGCAACTGCCCGTTGCTGATGGCATCCTCCAGGCTGAAGCAGAGCAAGCTTCCCCAAGGCTCCGTATCTACATGGCAAATGCCAAAACTGTGGATGTCAGTAGAGATATTCTGAATGCTAACCTTGTAAACCTTAACTTATTTTAACCTATTTTCATGTCATGCCGTTATCTGATTGAAGGCTAAACATCTCAATGAAGAAACTGGCTGACAATCTCCCAGTCTGGAATTTAAGAAACCCCACAAAGGTCAGTAAAAAGCTTCCAGGGGTTTCATTGTCCTTGGGTTCAGACCTTCATGGGATCAAAAAATTCTCTACTCTCCCAAATGAAAAAGAAACTTGAGGTGGTGCTGAAATACTGTTTTTCCATTAAAAAAAAAATAAAAAAATAAAAAATCTGACTCTATCACTTGGGAAGTTTCATTTCCAGGACATGTACCAGACTGGGACAACATCTACCCCTCTTTTGGGAGATGCTCATTTAATTAATGTGGCAACTATTGTGTGTGCCTGGGAGTCTCACAGCCGGTTTTATTCTTTTCTTTTCTTTTCTTTTCTTTTCTTTTCTTTTCTTTTCTTTTCTTTTCTTTTCTTTTCTTTTCTTTTCTTTTCTTTTCTTTTCTTTTCTATTGACTTGATGATTTCTGTTTAATTAGCACATTTTGGAGAAATAATCAAAAAATAATAAGGTAAAATAATCAGACAAGCATAGTGCGGAGGAATAATAGCTTCTTTGTAGGGCTAATTGGAGTGGACAGTCCATTGGCTAGTTTGGGGCTCCTCACAATTGGATATTCCCAGCCTAGTTGTGCCATGTGCCCAGGACTTCCAAACACCTACATACATCCAGATCTGGTAATCATTTCAAGTAGCTTTAATGAGTTCTGAATGAGCACCAAGGAGAACCAAGTCTGGACCTGCCCTCTTTTGCCATTGCCCAGATTTTGCCGAAGGCTGTGGAAGCAAAAGGAGTTTGCCCAGGACCTACAACAGGCGCGGGGCCCTGGGTACTGCCAGGCAGAGCATCCCCAGGGAGGGCTGTGTCCTGACTCACACACCCTATGTAGGACGGGAGGGAGTTGCCCATGGGGATGTGAGATGGGCAGGTAAAACAGGAGTAGAAAACAACAACAAAGCAGAGTGGAAGTGAAAAGCAGCCAGATACCAGAGCTATGGCTGTTGTGCCTGCTCCACCTGGGTTTCTTCCTGAACACCCTGTCCCTCATGTTCCCGTATATCACCTAAAGGTTTACACCTCTGGGACAAGCCCCAGTCTCCTCCCTATGAGCAGGGTCAGGGCTTTCCATGGGCTACATCACCTACAGCTCCTGGAGACACGCAGGGCAAGCTCCGCTTGCTCACCAATTGCCCGTCATGCCTCTAGTCATGGCTGGAGGTATAGCACCTTGATGGTCATTTGTTTGCCCTGTGTTTGGCTAGGAATTAATTAGGAGGTGAGCTCCAGGCTGCTGTGACAGCTGTCTGCGTGCGGCACTTCCCAGCAGTTTGATTAAATCTGCGACACTCCAGATGTGAGAGCCCTGTGCATCAGCACATGGTTTGCTCTTAAACTCCACTTAAACCATGACTGCTCTTCTGGTTTTAATCAAAGGCAAATGCTTTAAGACAGAAATCTGTGCAGAGGAATTAGTAGGGGTGACTCTGGGGCATGTGGAGGCATGGACACAGAAAGGCATCCCCCCAGTGACAAATTAGGGCTGCTGATGCACTTGTAGTAAGCTTGGCTGATGATGCTACAACGCTAAGCAGGTGGTGTTCACGGCTAGCTGTGGCTGTGATTACCCTGCAAACCTTTTGCTTCACCCACATAAGCTAGAAACAGAGCACTTTCTGCAGTCCAGCAGCGCTGGGAGCACAGATTTCCTCATTAGTTTAACCTGGTCATGACGCCTGCCCCTGCAAATCCATCACCCCAAAATGGAGGCTAGTTGGCCATTACATATACCTACCCCTATCTGGCCAGGAGCACACACATAGCCCACCACTCAGCCCTGGCTGCAACCTGAGAGAAGTCCCATCACCCGCATCACAAGGAGGAAGACCACCTGTAACTGAGAGGTGGGGATTTAGCCTTGTGAAATACAGACATGCCTCACCACAATGTCGCCCCCCCCCCCCGCTGCTGCATTCTCTCCTAGCAGTGGGCTGTTTCTCAGTTCTTGCACCTATGTGTCAGTGGCAACTTTTTCACAACAGCCATCACTTCCCCATGCTCCCATCAGAACATAGAGGAGGCAGAAGAAAAGCCCTTTTCCTTCTGTCCATGCATACTGAGTCAGAGACCTTCTCCCCGGGCTCCCACCCTTGCCAAATTGCCTGTGTGGCCATCAGATGGCTACTTGCCTTACCACACTCCACTCCTGGGCCACCCTACATCCATGCAACGTCCACTGTGGCCACCAGCCAGCTGGCTGAGCTTGCCCTGCAGGGCAGGCACCCCAGGATTGTGGCTTCAACATCATTCTGGGGACCAGGCTCCAACCTTGCTCCTGTGCCAGGCTGCCAGGAGCTGATATGGATGTGTGGCACAGAGCCACTGAGGAGCACCAGGCTGGGACTGCTGGTACGGGTCCAACGGGTGGGGGTGTGGCATAAGCTGGGCTTTCAGAGAAGGGTTCTCTGTCCAGCCTGGAGCATGGGAGCCTCTTCCACCCCAACCCACCTAAAACTGTCAGATGGTCCTTTATTATTGACCTGATTCATATCTAAACCAGGGAGGTGAAAGCTGTCTTATCCCATTACTAATCCTCTAAACCAGGCCCTTCGATACCTTCCCCTTGCTACCCCCTCCTCATTGCTACAGCAGGTGGTTGTAAAGCGAGTGCACATCCTTCTGGGGTTTCCCCGAATTTCATATCCTTGCAAAGACACAGGCCCCAAAAACCCATCAACTGGGGAGACATCATCAGCTGAATAGGGTCTACCAAAATGTTGCATGTATCTGTAATCCCCCAAGGACTTGCAAGGCTTGTCCCTGGTTGTCTGAAGGGGACAGTCCCAGGCACCCGTCCCATCCTGTGCGCCCTCATTATGCCATTTGTAGGGTGCCAGGGGGCACCTGACATGGCACTGGAGCAGCCATGGGGTGGAGGGGATACCCTGGGGACTGTCCCAGCTCGCTGTGCCCCCAGTCCTGCAAAGCACAGCAGGGAGCAGAGCACAGAGGATGGCGGTGCTCCAGCATGGGCTGCAGACAGCACCCACCCCTGGGACATGGGACTGCACTGGGGTTGGGTGTTGGGGCACCCTGGGGCTGTCGGGCTGGCTGGTGCAGGCATGGGCCCCTGCCCATGGGGGGCCAAACCCTGGGGAAATTAGAGCAAGGGGCGACGTTTGATATTCTGCTCTTTAAGCGATTAATAATCTTTCAGCGTCGGAGAATCAACTGAAAATCTTCCCTGGAAAATAATGAGCAGAGAAACATTTACTGATTAGTCTAATCCCAGCTAATCCTATCTGATGAGCATATATCAAGATATCCTTTAACTGATTTATTGTCCAAAGGACTGGTGGAGAAGCCCCTCTCTGCCATGGCCTGGAGAGCCAACGGTAGCAGCCAGCGTGTCCCCCCACCCCATCCCACAACCCTGTCCCAGGAGCAGGCGCATGCCCTGGCCCCCATGGCACTGCCACGGCCGCAGTCCGCCCCAGGCAGCAACGCCATATCCAGGCCACCTCACCAGCACAGGGAGATTTAATCTCTATTTCCATTTCTGCATCTATCGGCTTTCTCTTGGGTTTGAGCTTTTATGTTTCATAAACTGATTAGGAGCAATTATACATGCTTTATCCCCAAACTTTCCAAATGCCTAGGCCATATGCATATTTAAGGCTTCATCATCTCTCCCAACAGCTCAGCCTGAACATAAACTGCTGAAATCAAGCTGATTCTGGGACAACGTAAAAAATTAGGGTTTTATCTACTAGTATCTGCTCGAACAGGAAATTTGTTGTGGGTGGTGGCCGGATTATGGCTTCTAATTACTGTGGCAGATCCTCCCTGCCTTAGCAGTGAAAGTCTCCAATTCCAGCAAAACTGCAGCAAAAACACTCTGGAGAAGGAAAGGTGCCCAAAGAGGACCCTGGGCTGGCCTGTCCCTGGGCGGGGGGCAGCCCTGCGCGGGGGTGCCCCAGCATCCCTGCATCCTGAGCACATGGGGACCCCCGATTGGTGGCTTTGGGAGTGTCACACCCCTCCACACCTCTCGCTCCTCTCGTGCCCGTTTGCCTTTCTTGGTGTGAAGCGTGATGGCCCAGAGGGTCCCCCCCCCGCCACCAGCCCCCAGCACTGGACACGGCAATTATCCTAAATGAAAGTTATTGTTCTGCTAATCCCAGGAACAGCTTGCGAGGGGAGATTTGGGTCTTTCTTTAATAATGCAAAGTTAATGCGGAGTCCCCTTGTAATTATCTTTATCAGAAGGACCCTCGGTTAATCTGACTGTCCAGCGAAGGCCCAGATCAGGCAGCCTGTGTAAGCCGGTTGTAAATCGTTTCCATCAACAGATGAAGGGAAGGGGGGAAAAAATTGCAGCCCAGGTGCAAGAATCTGGGAGCAAAAGGGAGCATGGAGGCCAGGCATCTCGAGGTGGCCGCAAACCCCAGTGCCAAGACACTGGGGGTCAGGGAGGGTCCTACCCCACAGTCCCCAGCCAGCCCCAGCCCCGGGGTGCTGAGTGGAGGGATACCCCATCCGGGATGTGGGGCTGAAGGGCCAGCGAGTGGGATGGGACTACTGGGGAGGGCCCCTGGAAGAGGGGACATAGGGACACAGCGGGGAGGTCCTGGGAGAAGACCCAGGAAGGGAACCCACAAGGATGTGAGGGGGGTTTATGGGGGAGCTGGGTGGCCGGGACCGGGGGCGGAGGGGGACCTCAGGGGACCCGTCGAAGTGAT